ATTTGAGATTCTTCTGTTGAGAGTTCTCTGTTTAGATCTGTACACCATTTTAAATTGAATTATTTGGTATTTTGATATCTAGTTTCTTGAGTTCTTTTATATTTTAAAGATCAGTCCTCTGTCAGATGTAGGTTTAGGGAAGATCTTTTCCCAATCTGTAGGCTGCCGTTTTGTCTTATTGACTGTGTCCTTTTTCTTACAGAAGCTTTTCAGTTTCATTTATTAATTCATTTATTAATAGGTTCCATTTATTAATTGTCAATCTTAGTGTCTGTGCTACTGGTGTTATATTAAGGAAGTTGTCTCCTGTGTCAGTGGGTTCAAGGCTATTTCCTACTTTCTCGTCTATCAGGTTCAGTGTAACTGGGTTTATGCTGAGGTTTTTGATCCACTCAAATTTGAGTTTTGTGTAGGGTGATAGATATGAATCTGTTTGCATTCTTCTGCATGTCACTATCCAGTTATGCCAGCATCATTTGTTGAAGATGCTTTCTTTTCTCCATTGTGTAGTTTTGACTTCTTTGTCAAAAATCAGGAGTTCATAGGTGTGTGGATTGGAAATCAATATCAAAGTTTCTCAGAAAATTGGGAATCAGTATATCTCAAGACCCAGTGATACCACTCAGGCCTGTACCCAAAGGATGTTCCATCATACCACAAGGACACTTGCTCAACTGTGTTCACTGTCATTGGACTTTCTTTGTAGGACTGCCAGCTCACAAATAATGAGTGGCAAAGAGCTTATGACTAATTGGGAAAGTTTGGCCTTTAGCTTAGGCTTGTTTCTAACTAGCTCTTATAACTTAATTAACACATATTTTTAATCTTTATTCTACCATGTGGCTCTTTACTTTTCCTCAGTACAGCATGTTCAACTTGCTCCGAGTCTGCTGGCAAAAATTCCTGTGCCTAGATTCATCTCCTCTTTCTCTTCCTGGAAATATTGCCTATCCTATCCTAGCTATTTGTTGACCATTCAGCTATTTATTAAACCGATCAGAAGGCATCTTGGCAAAGACACATCTTCACAGTGTACAAAAAGATTATCCCTTAACAGTTCATAGCAGCTTTATTTGTAGTAGCCAGAACCTGGGAGCAACCTAGATGCCTCTTAAGCAAAGAACAGATAAAGAAAATGTGGTATATTTATACAATGGAGTATTACTTAGCTGCTTAAAAACAATGACATCAGTAAATGTGAAGTCAAATGGATGGAACTAAAAAAAAAAATCATTCTGAGTGAGGTGACCCAGACCCAGAAAGACAAGCATGGTATGTCCTCACTCATAAGTGGATATTAGCTGTAAAGTAAAGGATACCCATGCTACAGTCCACAGTCCCACAGAGGCTAGATAACAAGGAGGGCCCAAGGGGGACTTATGGATTTTCCCTGGGAAGGGGAAAAAGAGAAAGATTTTCTGGTTTGGCTGTGGATGGGTGAGCATGGGAACTTGAGGGAACAAGTTGGGGGATGGGTGGAGGGGGGAGAGTTCTGAGAGAGACTACTGGAAAGAAGGGTTTATGGAGGCTAGTAGAAGCCTGATCCAAGGGAAGCTTTCACTAGTCTATAAGGATGGACCCAGCTAAGATTCCTGGCAGCGATGGATGCATAAGCTGAACTGCCCGTCCCTATGATAAGATTGGTGACTACCCCAGTGGTTATAGGGGAGCCAACTGATAGATGTAGATTTAGGAACCCAAGATGAAATATTGGGTCAAGCTCAGGAGTTTTGCTGAGGAGAGGAAGGAGGGATTGTAGGAGCCAGAGTCAGGGACATCAAAGGAAGGCCCATAGAAACTGCTAGACTGACCCATGGGAACCCAAGCCTGAACCAACAGCCAGGAAGCCTGCATGGCACCTACCTAAGCCCTCTGTATATATGGACAGTTGTGTGGCTTGCTCTATTTGTGGGTCTCCTAGCAGAGGGAGCAGGGTCTGTCCCTGGTGCTTTGGCTGGCTCTTGGGAGGCTATTCCTCATGCCAGATTGCCTTTCCCAGCTTGAGTACTGGGTGAGGTGCCTGGTCTTATGGAGTTAGATATGCCATGTTTTGCTGATGTCTATGGGAGGCCTGCCCCTTTCTGAGTGAATACTGAGGAGAGATGGATTGACCTTGGGTGAGGGATGGGGGGTGGGGATTGGGATGGGGAGGGGAGTGGAAGAAGAGGAAGGAGAGGAGGCAGCTATCCAGATGTAAAATAAATAAAATTTTTTTAAAAAAGAAAATGTCTCAGTATGTAGACCAGACTGACAACTTACTAAACGATATCTACCTCACTCTTCCTCCCTAGTACTGGGATTAAAGGCATGTGCTTCCATGCCAGGCTAGTAAAAAATATCTTAACTTCAGAAAAACTCTTCATTTTAAGAAATATAACTAATCACATAAAATTTAAGTAAAGTAGTAAGTGATTTAAATATAATTAGTTTTGTTCACTGTAGGAGCTACTGAGTTTTTTTAAAATGACATATATGCACTTTAAAATACTAAAATTATATATAATCCATGGGTCAATGGATAAAAAAGACTGAATTATAGCATTCAGAATTAATTAATAATTGATATGATATAATATTTGAATAATGGACTCACCCAAAGAATTAGACATTTGAATAAGAATAACTAACAACTCAATGTACTAGTCAACAAGTACCCCGTGAACACTCAAACTTAACAGTTGCTAAGCTCAAGGGAAAATTGTCAGTTGTGTTTGGAACTCACACAAGAAATAATTGTTCTTTTAATACTTAAAAGTTTTTCTAATAATTAAAGTGATATAACCCAGGCCTGAGATGGCTCGGGAAGTAAATGGACTTGGTGCACAAAACGGTAGACCCGAGTTCGATCCCAGATGAGTACGTAAGCGTAGATGGACAAAAACAAGTCCACAGTTGTCTCTAACCTCTCCACATGTGCAAGCACACACGCAGAGCAAGCACACATTAATATGTTATCAGGGAAGGATAACTAGGAGTCTGTCAAAATTAAATGCTCAGCATGACAGCCTAAAATATCCTTCAGTGAAAACAACACTTCTCAAATTTGGAAGCGTTTTTACAACAGATATGACAGGAAAGGCAGTGAGAACTTTGAACCAGGGCTTCAGAAAAGCTGTTCATAAAGCAAGAAGAACAGTAGTGAATAAGCAGTTCCAATGATGGCCAGTCAAGGTCAAAAACCAAAAATGTACTTTTTGTGTCATATGAGCAAAGAGACTGGGAAATTCATACCTAAGATTGCACAAATATTCCCTCCATTTTAAATAATGACCTTCAGCTGTGCTGTGATCTCTCCCTCCCTTTGTTTCCTCACTTTCTCTTTGGCACATGCATCACATGCATACACTGTAGACATACTGGCATTGGGAGTGTGTGTGTGTGTGTGTGTGTGTGTGTACCCACACGCATGCACACCAAAGGTAAATATTAAGTATTTTTTGTCAATATCTTTCCGCATTATTTTTTTTTGAGACGGTCTCTCATTGGGTGAAGAATATATGGATTCGTCTAGAATGGCTGGCTAGCCAACTCCAGGGATCTGCCTCACAGGCACACGCTACTGTCATCGGCTTTTTCCCGTGGGCACTGGGGACGAGTTCGGGCCTTCATGGATACATAGCAAGCACTTTTCTACCTGAGCCATCTCCTAACCCTACACCAGTATTGTTAAAGACATCTTTTCATGCACTTAGTTACATTTTTTTTTGCAGGTTGTTATCCGTTTCTGCCCACTGTACCCTTTGGTCCGGTAATACTAGTTCTTGTAACCTGTCTTCAGTTGGTAAATGATATATATGCTCAAAATTGCTGATCACATCCTTGTTCATATTAGTAAACACCTGGTAACATTCTGTAATAAGAGATATATTTTTAAAAAATTGTAAGTGCATATGGGTATACATCCAGCCAAATAAGTCTATAATCCCATATTATTTATACTGTCACATGAAGAATAATGCAGTGGTTAGTAGTCACTAGTATGCCCAGATTAATACTGGTATAGAAATAGATGCATGACACAACGTAGTGAAAAGAGCAGCATGGACTATCTCTTTTAATGAACATTTTCTTCCAACCAGTAGCTTTGTTACAGCCAGAAGATATTTCTGATCTAAAAGCATTGTTGTGGGAAGAAGTAATAGGGAACTCGTATCAAAAAAGGAAAAAAAAAAACTTTTACAACCCAAACCTTCTTTTCTGATAACCACATTTTTAAGAACCATAAGGAAACGAAAAGGAACAGATGAACTAAGTCATGACATGCCTCAATAATTTACATACAATTTCTTTAAAGCAATTATTGAGATATTTGTTCTATGCACTATCTTTGCAATTCAATAGTATATTACACTTTGGATAATGAATTTTAATTGGAATTACTTGATCTATATTTAAGTGTACAGTTTAAAACAGATAATAATAATAATAATAGAAGAAAAGACATGCATTTGAAAACAAGTTGGGGGACACAGGAAAAGTTGGAGGGAAGAGAGAGGGGAAGAAATTGGAAAATATAAATATAGTACTTACTCTAAATTCTCCGAAAACTAAAAAAAATGAAGTTAAAAAGAGCCAAAATAATATCTATATTTGTAACATGTCTTGTACCTGTATTTAAATTTATTCACAAGTAAATAAGATTAAAACTTGAGATGATCTTTCTGTAGCCATGTGTTAGGTGTCTAACAGCCATGTGTGCTGGTGGCTTATTAAAGAGTAGAAACAAACACACCCACCAATCGCATGGTTCAATTTCAGCCTTTACGGTGGTTTTCTTCTTAGGATAGAAAGATATCAAAAATAATTCCTTCAGAATACAACTCAAAAATCACATGATGAAGTGCTAACTTATTTGCCATAGTCAAGCTGAGTGCTGCTTGGGTAGGAAGTTCTCGAAACACCCACAGCTGGATACTTTCTTCACCGCTTTGGCAGTGAACACCCAGAACTGGTGAGAACGGAGGATCTTACTTTAGAAACCGTGTCTGTTCTCCTTGCAGGCATGGGACCCGTTGTGCTGGAGAAGTGGCAGCCGCTGCAAACAACTCTCACTGCACCGTTGGAATTGCTTTCAACGCCAAGATTGGAGGTATGGGACACTTCCAAGGATACACACAGGAGCCAGGAAGCTCTTGGCGAACTGCTTTTCAGGATCCTTTTCAAACTAGCAGTGGGCACCTCTATGCGTGACAGGGCGGAACTGCTGTTGACTGCATGGTGCCCATGTGAGAGATGATGTTCGGTACAATGGTGGACACTTACCACAAGACTCCAATGTCACAAATACAGTGTTTCTAAATAATACTTGAACAAAAACAAAAATGTTACCCAGTAGTGACTACAGAAATGTGATTTATTGATTGATATATATATGTATGTATGTATGTGTGTATGTATGTATGTATATATATAATTTTATATATATAAACTTGGAATTGGTGCCTGGTCTTGAAGAACTAGCAATAGAAATGTCTAACCACAATATCTCTGTGGAAAAAGCATTTTAAGACAGCCTTAAAAAGAAAAGACACATTCCTGTATGTGGTGGCCAAGCTTTTAAAAGGTGTCTTAATTGTAACTGAAATGCTGAATGGTAAAATCTCTTCTTAGACTCCCCTAATGTTCCCACGAGTCCAGATTATGTGTATGTGTGTAGATAGATAGGCAGACAGACAGATATGCATCATGTTTGTGTTTTGTGTACATTTATGCATATATGCTCATATAAATTCAAACTGCGGCACAAGTATGTTTATTATAAAGACCTAGCCAACACAGTATTAATCAAAGTTCTGAAAAAGTAGACTCCACTTTCCCACTTGTAATCATTGTTGTAAGCAACAGATGATTGCCACAGCCACACACAAATGGGAAGACAGCACTTTAATAGACTAGTGACTTCATCGTTAGGCCTAAAGATGTTCCCCTAGGTAGACTAAAAAATGTCAGATGACTACGAACTTCAGCAGCAAGGTGAGTACCTTGTTCCAATGCTCTATTTGCTAGCAAATAGTTCATCTAAAACTGAAAAGTGCCATTCCTAACCACAATAAGCGTACAAAACATTCAGAGTGCAATAGTCGCCACTCATCCAATACTCCCAGGGGCTTCCTCAAGCAGACACAGTTCCCAGCCCTCCATATATCGACTTGCTATGTCTTGTAAATGCTTGTGGTCATTTATCTGCCAGATTGAGCATCGCAAGGTGCTAACAACAATCAATAAAATGGAACAGTTAGGCCAGGCAGTGGTGTTGTATGTCTTTAATCCCAATGCTCGGAAGGCAGAGACAAACAAATCTCTGTGAGTTCAAGGCCAGCCTGGTATAGAGAGAGAATTCAGGATAGGCTCCAAAGCTACAGAGGAGTCCTGTCTTGAAAAACCAAAATAAATAAATAAATAAATGAAACAATTATAGCAAAATACTGTAAGAGGGGTGTTACTTGAAACGTGAATTGTTCATTTTTAGAATTTCCCATGTCATATTTCTGGACCCTTGTTGATAGGTAACCGATATCAGCAAAAACAAAGCTACAGTTGGAGGAACCATGTGGAGCTGTGCTTAACGCAGGTTCCTAAGATTCTCTTGACTGCCAGCAGCCTCGAAATATGTCTGAATGCTTTATTTTCCTTCTTTCACTCTAAATTTCTTGGGCTCACAGTTTGTTTCCCAGTAAAGAGTTGCACTCAGGAACATCCACTCTGATAAGGACAGAGGCTCTTCCTGAGGTGTGGTAAGAGTGTCACCCAGGAAGATCAGATCCATGGCTACTGCAACAGTCGCCTTTCACATATGAGCTTACATCCTCTATGGCTGGGATTACATTCCCAGCACTGACTGACCCTGCACTCTGACTGGTCATGAGGGAAGAAGTTAATAAACTCTGAACTCCCTCACAGCTGCTGGCCAAGAAGCTTAACTGTACTTCCTTAAAAAGACGAATGTATGGTGAGGATTCAAAAATGTACTAAGCAAGAATATTCTGAACTAAAGTTCAGCTCCTCAGACCCAAGGCATAAAGTTTGTAGTGGAAAAAGAAAAGATGAAGTAGCCTTTAGCATTTAAACTTGACAAAATTATGAAATTCTTTATGTATTTCCAGTCAGAAAACTCGTGCCTTCTAAGGATGATTTAACAGACACATAAACTACATGACAGAAAACTCAAGTTCAGGTGTTATACCGATGCTTTCACGTTCTCACCTGGATACTCTCGTTGCTAAATTGGGGGGCAGTTCTAATGTCTGATTTAGAGCACTCTGTGCAGGAGGATGCTTCTAAATACAACCTAACGAGATGAAGTAGTATGTCGCCTTTGCCCTGAAAGAGAGCATACCAGCTTTAAATGTTCATAATAACTGAAAACAAGCCATGGCCATTCAGGACCCAGTACATGTAGAACATCATCCTAAGTTACATGCTTCCACAAAACAAACCACATGACTTTTCAGAGGACAGTTTGCATTCCGTAAGTTTTAAGGCATTTTCCCACAGTCTTTATCACTGCATAACTTGATGTCAAACCTCTTCTCTCAGAATCTAAAAGCGGGGTGTGGAGAGGTAGCTCACTCAGCAAAGTGTTCGCTGCACCACACTTGAGGACCTAATTGTGTATCCTCAATACACATGTAAAGAATCAGGCATAGGAACGTGGATCCACAAACCTGGTACTTGGGAAAGTGGACACATTAGGATCCTCAGAGCACATTGGCAGACCAACGTAGCCAGTCTTGCCAAATCTGTAATCTCTAGGTTCACTGAGAAGCCCTACTTCAAAAATTAAGGTATAAAGTGACTAAGGAATTTGTCCTATAAGCACACATGCATGTATGAATGTACTCATGCCTACATTTACATATGTAAGCACACACAACAACACCATAACACAAATAACAAAGCGATCCCAGAGTGAAAGTATTCTATAATAACCCAGAATTATATGCAATTGTGTGTGTATTAATTAAAAATATAAAAAGTAAAACTATAGAGAGTTGACATGATTAAGAGTACTATAGAAAAGACCCTGTAGAGTATTTGCATGCATACTTACACTGATATAGATAAAATATCTATATGTAAGCCTATGTACATAATAATGTATAACTATAAAAGGAGATTTATCAAATTATCTTACATAATTGGAGGCTGGATAGTACCATATTGACTATCAGGATCCCCAATAACTACTTAGTCCAAAGGACTGGAAGTCTCACCATAGGTGAGACCAATCATACCATAGTCTGGGGCCAAAGCAAGGACGATCCCTGGAGAGTGGCAGGCATCATTCCTGTTTAAAAGACTGCAGAAGCTAGAGTCTAAGACACAGACTCAACATCACCAGCGATAGAAACACAAGCTCAAGATTTGGCTTGCTCACTTATGCAGGCTTATTCCTTCTACTAATACATCCAAGCCCCCTATTTGTTAGGAAGGACAAGTCAAATTCAAGCTAGTTGGTCTTTCCCCACTGATTGCTCTGCCAGTCTTTGCAGGAGAGCCCATTGCAAGTGTACTCAGAAGAACGCCTCGCTGTTCTCACTAAGCAGCCAATTAAAATTACCTGAGGCCTAACAATCAAGTCCAATATCTTCAGAAATACTTGGGAAAACAATATTATTAAGTGTTAGAATATCCTAGGTCTTTATTTTTTCATAAAAAAAACTTTCTTTTTTTCTTTTTCATAAAAATATTAAAGGAAATAATAATTTTTAAGTCATATCATATCATGTTATTTAAATTGCTTCAGACTGACTTAAAATGTGGTTTTTAGATGAAGAAAATGAGCTAGAATGTTGAGTTGTATACTAACAACATATGTATTCTTATTCAGTATTTCTGTTTTTCTTAACTTTAAAAAAAAATCACAGAGGCTGGGCGGTGGTGGCGCACGCCTTTAATCCCAGCACTCGGGAGGCAGAGGCAGGCAGATCTCTGTGAGTTCGAGGCCAGCCTGGGCTACAAGAGCTAGTTCCACGACAGGAACCAAAAAAAGCTATGGAGAAACCCTGTCTCAAAAATTCAAAAAAAAAATCACAGAGATACTGTTTTCTCAAAAAAAATAGTTTTGTTTTCCTGACAGTAATCAACTCAGGCCTCATAGCATCTAAGATAGCCTACATTGAAGTCTTATGTTTAAATCTGTGTCTTGGTAACCAGTTAAAAACTTGAAATCCTGACAGGAAGAAAAACTCTCCTTAAAAGCAAATTAATCCTGTGGAAGTATAATTTTAAAATAAGGGGCTGGAGAGAAGGCTCAGTGGCTAAGAGCACTGGCTGCTCCTCTGAGGGAACCAAGGTTGATTCCCAGGACCCACATGGTGACTCAATAATGATCTGTAAACTCTCACTCCAGGGGATCTGACACCCTCTTCTGTCTGCCAGGCATGCATATGAAAAACAAGGTATACATGCAGGCAAGATACCCACATCCATCAAATAAATAATAAAGCTTTTTACATTTAAAACAATACAAGTCTCAGTGATGATATTTAGTGTAAGCTAGTTTTTCTTTTACTAAATTATTAAATGTTATGCTATTGTTGTAAGTTGCCAAAATACAGAATAAAAAGGAAAAGTTGGCTTTTGGCATATAATTTATGTCTTGCTCTAATTGGTGACTAGTTTTGAAAAACAAGGTTAATGCTTGATTTCTGTCTGATAGGAATGAGCTTAAATGACGATTAATGACTAAATGTTGCTAAAACATCTTGAGAGTTATTCGAAGTGTGTCAAATACATTCTTATCTATTATTTGACTTGTACATAAGTTGGCAGCAAAGAAATCCAGTAAGTTTGCATCCATCTACTATTATAGGCAATATGGGAAATGAGACCCAGGTAGAGTGGCGACTTTGCAGCCTTTCCAAAACTGGTAAGGTTAGAAGATTTCTACATCTATGAGTCCAACTTCATCAATAGGGAGAAATTTAGAATTGCTTGAGTAACTTTGTCAAATACTCATTTAAAATAGACAGGAAGGAAAGCAAGATTTGCAACTTTAGAAAAAGAATAGAAAATTAAAAAAAAATTTTGAATGAAATTTTGTTCTTTTATACACAATGAAACCTCCTGTCTCCCCAAGCTAGGCTAGCTTCTACAAACTGGTACCATTTTTTTAGGAAACATTCACTGAGGTGTTGGTTAAAATATTTTCTTGGGCCGAGGGAGATGGTCAAGAGTGCCTACTGTCCCAGCATCCACATGGTGACTCACAACTGCTTCTAACTCTAGTTCCAGGGCTCTCGGCTCCCAATTCTTGCACACATAATGTCACACATAAAATCTGGGCAGACATCTGCATGCACATTAGAATTGAATAAATACATAAATATGTTTACAGTTTTTTAATGTATTCTTTATTCCCATACGTTGTCTGCATGGTGTGCTTAGGTATCGTCTGCTGGAGACGAGTAACCGGCTTGCTCCTTTCTGCTTTGCAGGTGTGCGGATGCTGGATGGCGATGTCACAGACATGGTGGAAGCAAAGTCTGTCAGCTACAACCCACAGCATGTGCACATCTACAGTGCCAGCTGGGGCCCGGATGACGATGGCAAGACTGTGGATGGGCCAGCTCCCCTCACCCGGCAAGCCTTTGAGAACGGTGTGAGAATGGTAGGTTTCAGAAGCCTCTGGACTGAGGATTTTCATGGGCAGACCTTGTAGGCGTGCCACCATGCAGGCTAGAGGATTGCTGAAGCTCACGGGGGGGGGGGGGGGGGGCAAGTGGCCACTGGAAAGACGTCTTGAACGTTGGCGTTACGAGTTGTTTCCGCTCTACAAACAAACTCAGAGTTAGTCTCTGCTATGACGTGAACGGTATACTTGGATGTTTAGAGACACACAGAAGAAATTTATTAGTTAATATGTGAATGTGGCCCTTCGAGAAGCAAATTCCTGGGGCGAGCAACTGAGTAGGTGTTCACAGTCTCCATTTGGTGTTAGTAGAACATCCAGCAAGGCCCTTCTGGCATCTCCCTTTGGTGACACTTAGCCTCCCTTCTGTCCAGAAACAATATTTTTCTATGGCACCAGATCTCTCCAATCAGGTAACTTAGCATTGTCTTTATGTCACTGGAAGAGTGTACATTGTCCCCAGAAAACATAGCTCCACAATCTAATAGAATATTTGCTTTAAATTACAGATCTTAAACTGTTCTAAATGAAACAGAAGTAAAGATGCTAGAACTTATCCCCCTGGAAGGAGGAGTGCCCACTGGAGCAGGGCCTTGTCTTCTCCTACTAATGAATAGAATTTGAGTTATACAAAGTATATATGTTTCTATGTATGATATCATTGATCTGGCCAGAATTTCCCTTGCCTTTCTTACCTTCTCACTTCATTGTCTTGCGACATCTTCTACTCTTGTTCACTGTGCATCAGGACATTCTGTTTCCCCTGACTACCCCCAAGTCCTTCCATCCTCTTCTAAAAAGCGACATCTTCCCAGAAATCTCTATAAACCCATACAGGAATCAACTACAATTAGTCTCCTACTCTGTGCGTGCTGTGTTTGATAAAGACCAAGTCACATTTATATTTTGGCCATATTTTCCTCACAAAAGTTTAAGTCCCAAGAGTGCAGACCATGCCCTTTATACACAATCATGGGCTTTACAAAACTAAGAGAATGTATTGAGTTCTGGTGAGCCCTTTATAAGTGTCTGCTGCATCAAATGTAGTTTACTCCAAATGATGCCACCACAATGCTTTCATGGATTCATCCCAGACATGGAACCGTGGGACGCATTCAGCTGATTGGTGCAATGTTTGAGCAGGACTAAAAATCATACTGAGTCTTGTATAATTTTGTGAGTCTTGGTTAGATTTTTAGCAAAAGCCTGAACTAGGCCATCTCGTGGCTATCCCGAAATGAATTTGAGGGAGAAAACACACACTTTTTTTGTACACGCTTTCTCTACCAAAAAAAAAAAAAAAAAAAAAAAAAAAAAAAAAAAAAAAAAACGAAAAAAAGAAAAAAATGATTGTGAAGGCATTTTATAGTTCTGTCCATATTTAGTTACTTTTGTAAACTTTTAATGAATAGATAATATTGGAACTGGTTACCTAGCATTTTCCTTTCAAAGGGCCTTGATATGAAATGAAATGAATACACCCCATGTCATCTGCTGATTCATTGCCAAACTTGTGGACTACAAATTACTATTATTATCCCAGTAGAATGGCCATTGAGTTTAGTTCAAATTTTCCAGTTATGAGTGCCTTGTACCCATAAGAAAGAGCAACCTGAAATTCCTCAGTAATATGAAAATCCTTTTATTAGTAATGCACATGCCTTGTGATGTGGACATACATACAAAGAATGGCCAAGTCTAATAAGGAGGTTGGCTAACTGACTAAAGGGCATGTGGCTAAGTAACTCAGTGCTGAGAAAAAAGTTTGTACATTTATTTTTACTAGTAAGTTTGTAGAAATAACTATATACAGATAAATAACTATCAACAGAAATAAACTATAATCTTAATGCTTAAAACAGATAAAAATGTGGCACTTTGACTTTAGAAGTGTTTTTTTTTTAAAGTTTAGAAACAGATCGTGTAAGAAAACATTCAAACCCAAAGGACTATTTAGAAACAAATAATGTAGAAAAATTAAGCTCATTTTAAATGTAATAAAATATTTCGTTGTGGCAAGTCGTATTCAAAAAGTATATAAGGAAGAAGTTTATAATAGATTTCCCCACTCAAATAGTCAGTAGTTGCTAAGTACAGATACAACATCATACCCATAACCACATTAACCTGCCAACTGGGAAACATTTGATTCTCTCCTTGGATCCCATGGGCATCATTCCAGGGCACTCCATAGAAATAGGGCTCGTTGGTTTTATTTGTTTCAAAATTTTTGGAAATTTGCAGTACCATGATTTAGGGACTGGGATAGAGCTCAGAAGGGAAGCATGTGCTTGGCATGCATAAAGCCTTAGGTGTAATATCCATCACCCAAAAACCGAAAAGAATAAGGAGAGCATGATTTATTCAGCATTCCTTTGAAGATCTTCTGAGGATTAATCGGAACAAAAAGGGACTTCAGTTTTAAGATGAGCCATTAACTTTTAGAGTTGAAGTAGTAGCAAAAGCAGTAACTTTTCAAAGGGAAGATCTATCTTCTGGTTCATCGCCCTCCTAAATCTGAAATGACAGCAATAAACCATTGAAATAAGACAAAATGGATTGGATAGCGTTTTCATGCCTTCTGTAGAGTGAAGCTTTCAAGTCAAGCCTAGTGTTTCTCATTTACTTCTGACTTTAACTAAATCTAATACTTTGCTTCCATTTCCTCTTCTAAAGTGGTGTGGAAATGTCCTTCTCATTCACAGAGAGTTTCTGAGCATTCAGTGAGCTAGCAATCCACAGTAAAGTCATTAACACACTGAGTATAGTAAGGAGTCAGTAAGAAGTATGTAGAGAAGAGGTGTCTTCCTCAAGAGTACTGTTAATATCTGCCTTTAGCCCCTCATCCTTCTCCTCTAGGTCATGCCCCCATTGCAGAATTTCCACTCATCAGGTTGCTATTTGGAGCGGATTAGAAATAACACGGCACAGGTCAGCCCAGGTTCTCTGAGCTTCGTAGAGGTCATTTGTGCTGTTCCTCCTGTCTATCCACACTACCCATTCCACTTGCTCTAAACAAAAGTGTCTGCAATGTAAAGCATCTGCAATTTTACTGTGATTCTCTGTCAGTGAGCACACTGGGAGTGTGGTGTGTATGTGTGAGTGTTTGTGTGTTTCCAGTTGGTCTTGGATCTAGTCTCAAATTGTTTATTTTCCCAAAAGATGTTTCTCTAGATAGCTATGAGTATACCATTCAATATTTCAAGGTGATATTGGGTAGTCTTTATCAGAAAATGAAAATTTTGACTACTTTCTCATGAAGAAACCTAAAGCAAAACCTAAATTTTTCTTCTTTGAGGCCTAATAGAATATACGTGTGCTGTTGAGTGATTTGAGGACCTAAGGAACAAAAACGGGTAAAGAAATGCCTTCAGCTAACCAACTAAAGACTTGTACAGAGACCTTACGTCACTTTTGCCCATTGGTGTCCTCGCCACTTCTTCCACGTCCTGCGTGAATTGGAACGATTTATCCTCACCCCCTTGAAGCTTAGCGAGTTACTGCTCCTTAAGTATTGTAGATAAATGGTGAAGAACACCTAAAATAGTCCAGTCCCTCCATATATCAGCAAGACAAAATACAAGTAGAGAATCGCCAAGGATGTTTCAGCTGTGATTCATATAGCAGGTGAAATACAGCCGGTAACTGGGAGGGGCAGTGCTGCTTAAGATGGGAGCGGTAGACTTAGAGGTACTTAAGGTTGAGGAGGTAGTGTCTGCAGACATAAAAGATGAGCCAGTCATGTGAGGACGTGGAAGAGGAACAGTCTATGCAGAAGGAGCAGAAAGCACCAAGAACCCTAACTAGCAAAGGGTCGTTGCAGTTTATTTCTTGGACAGAACAATACCTCAGGCAGTTGGAACAGTATAAGCATAAAGTGGTAGAAGTGTGAAGTTGGCTAAGGCCAGCTCAGGCGGGGTTTCTAAGTCACACAGAGGGTTCGCATTCTATCCTGTGACAGAAAGCCACTGGGTGTTCAAATAGAGACATGCCATCTGTCAGGTGAAGGATGGAGGACAAGAATGGGAGATTGCAGTGGTCCCTGACAGCATTAACACTGTGGCAGCACTGGCTAGACCACAGACTGTTGTCCAGATCAGACATCGGGAGAGAGAAGGATAAGTATCCAAAAATCTATTCAGAGGGGAAATAAATACATTTTGCTCGGGGCTTCCATGTATTGGATCATGTCCATCCTTTCTGCTCACTAATCAGAAACATACCAAATATTGAATTTCAAAATGCACCCCATTTGTTTACTATAAGATAAATATTTGACTCAGTAGGATGTAACAGTGCTTTCAAAGATTTTAACAAAATTAAAATTGATTCAGTTTAGAAACAATGTGCCAAAATTGTATCAGCGGAACTGTGTTAAATATACCATATCGTAGTTGACAACTTGCTCGCTCTCTTTCTCTCTGTCTGTCTCTTTCTCAGAATTGCATATTATTTGATGTCAAGTGTAATTGTAATTTTTAGAATCAATAGTTTGAGCTATACTCAATGAGTGGAAAGGTGATGATGATGATGACAAGGAGGAAGAGGATGGAGGCAATGACGATGTCAATGATAGCGTGAACATTTACTATTTTGCCCAGTCTATTCACTGCTGCCCTTCATCTAAGCCCAAAACAGGCTCTTAGTTTTTAATCTAGATAATAGTCTTGTTAGATGGGCACTATTCCCCCAGTCTTACAAGTAGAGAAAACAAATCTGTCTTAGCTATCCAAGTCAGAACAGAGGCCTCAAAGCACTCCAGTGAGTTCAGCAGTGTGTTCCCTTTCTGTCTTCTTGGCCATATCTTCCTCTTCCTTAATCGTGTTTTCCTGTTTCAACTCTGCAATCAAATACACATTCACGCAGTTAGTTCTCTTATCTTAGAAAGAATAAGTAGATCTGGAGAGATGACTCAGTGGCTAAAAGCACTGGCTGCTCTTCTAGAGGACCCAGGTTCAATTCCCAGCACCCACATGGTA